GCTGTGCTGGTTACGCTCACCTCCGAGTGCAGGCTGCCCCAGGCCACGGAGGGGTCACGGGATCTGTTCTGCCCGCGAGCAGCAGGAGTGACGGGCTTGGACAAAGCTGAGCAGGGTCACAACTTTGAGCCGTGCAATAAATTCCTAATCGGGAGATGGTTGGCAGCACAGCGCGCAGCGGTCATGCAACAAGAAAAGATGAAGTTTTCCGTAGTCCCAGCCGAGTTAAGCAGGAGAGAAGGAAGGGAATCTTTCGCTTTTCTGACTGAAGAACAGCAGAACATAATTAAACCAGAGTAAAGATAATAAAATTGTACTCTACTGGAAGACGCTGCAGTATAGCATGTCCTCCAGGACGATCTCTCTGTCCGTCTTCGGGGCAGTACCTTAGTACAGCCTGGGCAGGATGAAAGGGGTGGAAGTTTCCTACCACATTAAGCAGAATTTTATTAAGCTGATGAATAAACATTTAGAATGATCCTTCCATCATTTAAAAAAAAATCACTAGTGTAGTCAGGAAAATATCCCTGTCCTTCATGAAAGGCCCGCCTCTGAAAAACATAGCAGAGAAAACTTGCCAAACCCTCTTAAAAGTTGGTGTCAATTTTCGTATCACAGAAACTGTCGCGAAACATTTTTCTTTTAGATCCATCATTTTTTGCACCGTTATTCTTTTCTGGTGTCTGTAGAAAAAAATAAATCCGAAAACTGGCAGGTGGCGGACAGCACTTTGTCAAGCATTTATCCAAGGTGATCCAAAGCGCAGATGTGGACAGCACGAATGAAAGCTTATGACTTATGAAAGCTTTAACAAGGCACTGTAACTTTAGGTGCCTCATAACCTATAAATAATACAAATGGAGGGGACAGAAGGGGACAGATAAATTATAAACAAATGACTCCAGAAATAAATTTATTCTGTATATCAGCTGTGTTAGCAGCCAGCCCTTTGCCGCAGCGTAATGCCGTCTGAAGAATATACAGAACTTTCTTGACTGATGACGCAATTACAGTGAGGTCCAATATAAGTCTCCTCAATTGTAGCTTCAGTTGAAGTAAAAAGCGTACGTGCCAATGTCGCTCCATTAAGTTAATGAAACTTGCCATGTGAGAGAATTTGGCTTTGAATTCTTTCTTCACAAAGAAAAAAAACCCAGTCTTTTACAATCCTTGTACATGTGCAAGTACAGTGAAAGAAAATGAAATTTTGCATTTCAAAAGTCTTATTTAAAAAATAAACAAACAAAAATCAAACAGACCTCAGGAGAAGCTGGTAATAAAGCAGGTTGAAACGTTGAAGTAATTCAGCTTACTCCAGGTCCACATTCAGTGTGTATTCAAATTAACTAGTATTCATCCGACAAGAAAAAAAAAATTACAGGAGAGAAAGGAGGGCAAGCTAAAATAGAACTTTAATGCTTCTTTACTATGTGCATTCACTGCTTTTTCTGTCATGGATCTTTTCCTCACCACCTGCCAGTAAATTATAACTTTTTGCCCACTTTCAGATGCCAAGTTGGTACAATTTACAGTACACTGCCGCTTTTATTTATATTTGTATGGGTGCCATCTCTGTAATGTAGCTGCGCCACACAACCTCACAATGCTAGGTCTAGCGATTACCGGATCAATAGAAAAGGGACCACGTGAATCAGTGTCTGCACTAGCAGCCGTCTCACCTCAGGGATCCAGAGGGTGCCCTGCTCCCACGTCTGTGAGAAGTCGGAATTTGGCTGCGTCTTCTGTAACTTGAAAAAGAAGTTTCCCTGTAGAAGCTATGTCCCTTGCTTTTTCTCACCCCAGTGAATAATTGTTTTGTATTAGTAAAAGTGCATTTTCACATGTTGGCTCCTTCTCCCAGAGCAGTTTGACCAGTCTCATAAATGATTTGCCATTGCCTCTGTGTTCGCAAAGGTGAAGTGATATATTTTCCTGCAAGGCCATATCCAGACTATCTTTACTTTCTCACTGCACAGCTCACCAATTGTCTTGCTTCTCGTTCTCTCATTTACTTGCATGGCTGAAAGACCTTTATTTCTTTGTTTTAATATCATTTCTAAGATCTATTTCAACGTGACTTTTAAGCATTTTTACTTTATTGCAACACTGACATACTTCTAAGGCTCTGAAGGAAAAACTATTAGTTACTTACGAACAAAGAACTTCATTGAAGCAGCATAAAAACGGTTGTCTCCTATCTCATAATGTAAAATAAGTAGCTTGAAAGCTGAAAACACAAACATCAAAAACCTCAGGAAAAGCCCCTACGGCGACACATTCAACAACATTAACTTACCTTGCCAGCCCAAGACCAGTTCATAGCTCCCCACTTCTGGTGCAACGCAGTAGATAACATTATACCCAATTCCTCAGAAAAAGATAAACAGAGTTAAGAACATGGGCTCTCCCATCCCCAGAAGCCCTCACAGAAGAACTTTGGTTCTGTTTCCATTGACGTGTTACTGGGAAGACACTTCACCTGTCTGGCTTAATCCTATCACAATAAAGTAAGGACAGTGCTCAGACGTCTCTGTAAAACAGTTCGAGGCCACTGAGGAAAAGCACTGTGTAAGATCCTGATATGATTGTAACATGTCTGGGTGGAGCCAGGGGGTGGAAAACACACTCTGTAAAATGCTAACAAAATGATTACTAATCTGTACCACCAGCCTGTGACCTGAACAAGTTTACTACTTTTCATCCCTGTGTGACTCTTGCTGCATATTTTAATACAATTCAAAAAATTAGCTTAAGCCAAAAATAAATAAATAAAAATAAATAAAAGCAACAATTAAGAGCTACTACAAAAATAACTATAGGAGGCTACAGAGCGGTCTCATCGCAGAACAGGCCACTGTGTCAATCAATGTGTCTTAAGAACAGTCATAGAGTTAACTCACCTTCTTGATCTCCTACGTTCTTCACCTTTTTATAAAAGGTGCTAGAATAGCACTAATTTGTTCAGAATGCTATGGCTTCGTTTTTGTTGATTTTTTCTGACGTAAACATGCGCTAGAATCCACCAGCTCACTGGATTGCAGGAAGGAA